AAAAATGTGTCATTGCTATGCAGTTGCTAGGGTTTTCTGTGTGGTTGTTAGGACTTTGCTAGGGGGTTTTGGGTGGATGGTTACTGGCAAAAGTCTCTATTTTTTATCATTTGTTTATTTTGCATATAGATTTTTTTGTATCGGTGTTACTTTAGTGTCATTGAGATACTATTGTAATTTTTATTTGAATAATTTCACATTTTTATTTAATTTATTAGAATTTTTACATTTTATTGGATATCATTTTAATTTAATAATTTTAATAATTTTATTTGATCTATTTTTTTATGAGGTTTTATATTGTAATTATTAAATACAATTATTTTTAATTAGCTGAAATAAAATACGTTTTTGATATATTATTTTAAAGGTGACATATTATGCCCCTTTTTACAATATGTAATATAAGTCTCTGGTGTCCCCAGAATGTGTCTGTGAAGTTTCAGCTCAAAATACTCCACAGATCATTTATTATATCATTTTGAAAATGCCTAATATTAAAAATGCAAAACACACCTGATGCAAATTCTTTGCTCTTCATTTTCTATAAGCAGAGTTAACAGACCCTGTTGTATTTTCTTGTAATTTATTAAAAGAAGGTACACCGCCATCTTGTGCCGACTAAACTGACTTGAACGCACCTTGTCAACTCGTAAGTACGAACGTCCCAGGAGGACTTGAACGCAGCATTAGGCCTACCTAAACAAAGTGATTGGGTTAATCTTTTTCACGTTTCCTTGGTTGGTAGATGCACCAGGGACCTGATTATAGCACTTAAAACCTGGAAAAGTCAGATTTTCATGATATGTCACCTTTAAGTCATTTTTATGGTTTTATTTTTAGTTAACTATAATAACCCTGGTGCAAAGTACAGTGCTCTAATCCCTCAATAAATGTCAATCTGTGGGATTTTATGATCTGTTTTATAGTCTACCAGATGAAAATCAGTCTGATTTCCTATTAAAGTTGCAGCACATTACAAGCGAATGTATTTCAATCAAAAAATTACACAATTCACCTTTAAGCTACACCTTAATCTGCTTCATTAAAATGTAACAGAATGGATGACGTGCTCATTAGGGATTCATCTGACTGTCCTCTTCTCCATCAGCATGTTTAATGCACACACAGACTCACATCGTAACCACTTGATCTGGTAAATGACTCCCTGTAGGAGTGCTGGATTATATAGTTATCGCTGCAGAAAATTCCCAGTCTTAACCTGTGCTTTGCTCTGACAACCTCTATCAAGAGTCAGCGTATAATCAGCTGTTTCAACTAAACCGCACTTCTTACTTCAACCTGAATTACATGGTCTGTCACAATAGTCATAAAGATGGCAGGTGGGGAGTAATATACCTCCCAATTAAGAGAAAGCATCAGTGATATAGTGTAATCCTCGTACACTATAAAAAAAAACTGCAATTGTTACCTTAAAGGAATAGTTCAGCCGAAAATGAACATATGCTGAAAATGTCCTCACCCTCAGGCAATCCAAGATGTAGATGAGTTTGTTTCTTCATCATATTTGGAGAAATGTAGCATTCCATCACTTGCTCACCAATGGATGCTCTGCAGTGAATGGGTGCCGTCAGAATGAGAGTCCAAACAGCTGATAAAAACATCACAATAATCCACAAGTAATCCACACCGCTCCAGTCCATCAGTTAATGTCTTGTCAAGAGAAAAGCTGCGCGTTTGTAAGAAACAAATCCATCATAAAGACTTTTTCATTGGAGGAAGCATTATTATGGATTGTAGACTTATATTTTTGCCAGAAGTGACAGTTTAAAGTTAAAACTTCTTAATGATGGTTTTGTTTCGCACAAACATGCAGCTTTTATATTCACAAGTCATTAATTGATGGACTGGAGTGGTGTGGATTACTTTTGCAGCTGTTTGGACTCTCATTTTTGCTTGTACTCAGGGTTAGTCATTTGAACAAACCTCTAAACCCAAGTATGAAACTTTGGTACGTAACTCATCCCACTACTACAGACGTGAAGGATTCCACAGCTTGTTGAGGAGAGGTGTGCTGTTACTTTAGTAAGAAATTAGATGTGCAATTCCTGCCTGCAGAACGATAGGTTATAAAATCCATAAACTGCAGAACTACAGTTTTAATTTAAAGAGTTCCCATGATGCAACCTGGGGTTAAGTGCTTTATTCAAGGACGTGGTATTGAAAGAGGCAGCCAGTACTTATCCATTTCATGAGGTTTGAATCTGTGAACGTTTCATTAATATCACGTAACCACTAGCACATTTTTAATGATTTTTCATTGAATGTGCTTGCTTTGTACAATATGAGGATTTTTTTTTTCTTTTTTTTGGTTTAGTCTGAGGATTCATGCTCTAAGAGTATTATGCATTATGTATTTTGTCTGAACATTTGGAAAAATGCCATTGGTATCCACTGATTTCTTTCCTCAGTTTGTTGAACACTTGAAGTCCTTTTAAAGCCATTAACGTTTTGCCTGGAGACCTACTTTGGTCATAAATAGTCTGAATAAACATCTCATCTGCTACATATAATACCATTTAAAAAATCATATTATTATTAACATGTACATATACAAATTTTACTATGGGGATTTTATATATGTTATAAACTTATATCTTCATCTACCTAGAGAATGTACGTATGTGAAAATAATATTTTTTATATTTCACCTTATAGTTAACATATTGCAATATCACTCTTAGTAAAGTAGCAGCAGACCTTTCTTTGATAAGTCACAATCTGAGGAATCATTCAGGACAAGGAATGTTTAATCCATAGTTTCAGGCTTTTCTTCAGATCACTAACCCAAAGTTTGAGCAACAGCTGTAGCCTTGCCTCTTCCTCCACAGGAGAAAATTAGAGCAACAGAGCTATAGAAATGCATTGAGAGCTCCAGTCGAGCTCTGAGGCTTTGATGATGTCTCTGTACTCGGTGATGTAGTGCTGCTTCACTCGTCCATAGAGTCACTGAAGTATCTTTATGTTCCTCAGAGGCTGATGCAGCTCCTGCGCTGCGGGATGCAGCAGTTAGGTTATTATAGTTTGATTTATTCTGAGAATTGAGATGCTCTGCATGTACAGCAGCAGAAATGCGCCACCAGAAGCATCTAATTAGAGCGGCAAAGCTTGTGCGTTTTGTTGTCTGATGGCTAGTGTAAATGAGCACATGGGATAGAGATAGTTACAAATGCACCGGACTCTCATTAGAGCAATGTTTGTCAGCAGGTTTCGCACTGATGTCTAATATATTCTTCTCCATTGAATTTTCTTGAATGGACAGACACAGATGCTGCATTAATTTACTGTATTATCTACTGCCTTGATTTTAGAAGCACAATTAAAAGAACCAAAGACTTAAACTACTTCAGTCTGTGTGCATTGAATTTATTTAATACACGAGTTTCACAATTTGAGTTGAATTACTGAAATAAATGAACTTTTCCACGACATTCTAATTTATTGAGATGCACCTGTAGTTGCCTAAAACAATTAAATCATTTATTAACATATCATTTATTCTATTCTAAATAGTTATTTTACTGTTGTAAAGTCTGTCATTTTACTGGAAGATCAAAACAAATATGAGGTCAGAAATTTTTGGTAACACTTTACTCAAAGCTTTTAATACATTATAAAAATTTTGAACCCATTAATTATGCCTTATAATGTATTGTATGATCTCATGAATAATTGTAACCACATTTATAAAACTTCACAATACTTATCTATTCATTGTTACACTTTTAGAAAGTATATTTCAATAAAACAGATGACAGACAACCAACAAGGAGTCTGCAAATATTATAATGCATTTTAACTTTGGCTACAATTATTTATGAAAAAATATAATGCATTATAATCCTTTATAATGCATTATACGTAAAAGCTTTAAGTAAAGTTTTACCAATTAAAAAAAGACATGCATGGATGAATTGTTAACAATAAGATCAATAACATACAATTAGAAAATATATAGGGTAAATTTTAATTTCATGACTGCTTTAAGAAAGTAAATGTTGATTTCATGTTGATTCTTGAGTCATTTGATGAGACATCATGCTTATCAAGAGTTTTTAAAAAGAAAAAAACAATATATATATATTTATAATTCAAGTGCATTGTAGAGAACTATTGACCTATCGGTAAGCAGCGCCCCCCTTAGTTGCTATTGCTAACTCGGACAAACAAACGGAGTTGCTAACTGTCTTACGATGGCAGCTGTCAGTGTGAAAACCTCGTCCCAATATGTTTTTGATCAAATTTGGACACAGAAGGACCACCATTCAAATGGGACTTAAATATGCCATGGAGGGATATCTAAAATATCTTAGAATAAATATGGTGGGTAACGAGATTAATTTGGAAGCGAGGGTCTACAGATCACAAGCAGGAGAAGCCTCATGTTACGGTCGTCACGATCGCAGATGACAACATCCAGGATTCATGTACAGCCTGTTAAGATTAAATTAATCTACATTTAACTAGTTGAATATGGAGAGGCAATGAAATGTAGACCTTGTTTATGTACACTGTACACAAGGTGAGAGGAGTTAGCCATTTAAGTTGGTACATTAGCATGAACACACTAGCCTAACTTTAACGTTAGCTAGTTTTAGCCAGAGCTACCTTGCAGCACAAGATGACATTAACATTCTGATTGAGCAGATGAAAATTTTTACTTAATGGGAGTATATGACAGCCAGAAAATGAACGTTTTCGTCTTCATTGGGATTGGGGTTGGGGTTGAATGCTTAGGTATAATTTGCTCCGTTTTGTTTGGGTTTAGGAAATTTAATAAAATAAATTCCATTGCCCATCCTCTCAGGATACAATCAGTGTTATAAGTAACCTACCCCAGGCACATCGTTTTTCCATTTTTGTAGCATAAACAAAACAAATAAAACCGATGAAAGCTTCGGATCTTCGAGTGTCTCTATGGCGCTGAAACCTAAAGATGTCCGGTTTCCGGTCCCCGTGCAGCTGCTAGTCAACGGCCATCATCTCATCTGCGCTCGAAGGGAGGAGCTTGCCGATAGGTTAGTTCCGTCCCGAACTGCAAGCTGAAACTCTTGCCGATCGCTCCACGCTGCTCCGCATGAAGTTGAACACACTGCCGTTCCCAGCATGAGATCCGTGAGACCCAGATCTCGGCATTTATAGGCTTATAATAAATTTAAAAAATATTAAATTAAATAAGTTTAAGCAACAATTAAAAGGTAAATAAAACGGTAAATATCAAGATTTCAAAAACAATAAGTTAAAGTTAAACAGGATTTAAAAAAAAAAAAGAGTAAATAAAAAGTTAAATATTAAAAAAAAAAAAAAAAAAAAGTTAAATAATAAGTCAAAGATAATCGACTTTCTCATCGGAGCTGATCAGCGGTCTAACAGTTCTCGTCAATGTCAAAATGACAGAGATGGTCCATCAAATCTATGATACAGTACATAAAATTGTGCAACGTTAAGTTGTACTTAAAAAAAAAAAAAAAAAAAAAAAAAGTATCTTAAGGTTATTTCTAGCATTTGGTGCCACTTGAGTCCATGATGTAATGTGGTATATTTGGCGTAAAAATGGGCTAATACGTTACTAAATTACCAGGTCTCATGGAGAGGAACTTACAGCACTAATGCCAGAAAGCAGTTATGTGAGAAAACAGCCAAATTATACCAAAAAAAACACCAATTCTTCAATCGACCGCTTCCCTGGCCATGGCCGCTGCCCTGACCGCTTCCCTGGCCATGGCCGCTGCCCTGACCGCTTCCCTGGCCATGGCCGCTGCCCTGACCGCTTCCCTGGCCATGGCCGCTGCCCTGACCGCTTCCCTGACCCTGGCCATAACCGCTTCCCTGGCCGCTGCTCTGACCCTGGCCGCTGCCCTGGAAGCTTCCCTGGCATCTTGCCTGACCTATTCCCTGACCACGTGGTTCACTGCATGCAAAGCCACCAGTGGTTGGGCAACATTTCTGTGTGGCAGGACACTGGAAATCATGGAAACAGCTTTCAGCACACAGTGGAATCATCTCCGGTATGGGACAGTGACCCGGCTTCACTGCGTGGACAAAAGGTAGTCAGCTTTAGTTTGTGCATATATAGACCGTATGCCACTTCAATATACAGCACGAAACACTCAAAGCATGAAAGCAAGTTTTACCTACAGAGTGAACTATATTCTAGGTCAGTGGTTCCCAAACCTGTCTTGGAGGCCCCCCTGCCCTGCACCTTTTGTACGTCTACCTTATCTAACACCTGATTGCACTCATCAGCTCGTTAGTAGAGACTGCAAGAACTAAATTGGGAGTGTCTTATTAGGGAGACATACAAAATGTGCAAGGGGTCTTCCAGGACAGGTTTGGGAACCACCATTCTAGGCATTATTCCTCTATTTTGTAAAGCCATCCTGTGCTTAAAACTATCCTAAGGGATGAATTCAAACCTACTTTAGACGAGAACAGCAAAAAGGCAAAGTATCTTAAAACCTACATTGAATTCAGTGTTACTCTTGTTTTTTTTTTTTGGACCCTTAGTGTCCATTATTAACTGGAACTCACTGAAAACAGGCAGCACGCAAACAGGCCCAGAGTCAAATCGACAGCATTTGTGTCCTCCAGGGCAGTCTTCATCAGAAGCACATCCTCGACGGGACGGCACGACCGTCAGCCTCTCCGGACACAAACCGTCCACTAGAGGATTCAAGAGGATCATTAGTGGAGGCCAGGGAGTGCGGTTTCACCATTTGTAAATCAGGGGTTCTGCAATGGGTCTCAAACCCAAATTTTACATATTTGTCTGCTTCAAATCAAAAGGGTTTTAAAACCTACTACTCATTCCTAAACTGTGTTAATTACTTTCGAAGACTGAGAGTCACTTATTTCCGCATTTCTTCAGGCTGTGTAATGAAGTCAACAGATATTCTCACCTGTGGCTCGCCTTTGAATAGCGTGAGTTATGCTCAAGTATCCGAACAGACACGATAAAACCGCGATCAACGAGAAATATGCTCGAGCTGTCATCCTCCCGACCTGCGATCTCACAACGAGGTCTGCTGGAAAATGCGCTGAATTGGTGCGTCAGGAGGAACGGACAGTGAAGCGCACAAAACTAAAACGAATACGTGCTGTTGCAATATCAACCTTTGTAAAATGGGGTTTTAAAGATCCAAGGAGATCAGGTCAATTCCAACCCTGATCAAACTCACCTGCTTGGAGTTTTCTAGTAATCTGGAATGCCTTGATTAGCTTGTTCAGGTGTGTTTAGTTGGGGTGGGATGAGCTGAATGCTGCGTTCACGCCATGTCATAATAATTAAGGTAGCCTAATTACGAGAGGATTGTGCGTTTCTATGGCAACACTATCAACTGCAAAATGAATCTGAAGTGGTCAGGTGGTGGTACCAATAGGTGTGTTCGACTTCATGCTGCGCAGACCGAAGCAGTGCGTGCCGGTTCTTCTTCTTGTTCTTTTTTTTTATTAACCAGAACAAAATATACTCGCAAACTTCCCTCCGTCTCGTTTACTCAGATGTACGTCATTGATTACGTTGCATGAGTGCCCACTTCTGGCGGAACCCTTGGAATGGGCTGAACTGGAACAAGCCCTTGATCACTTAGAATCAGCTGTGGAGTTGGTTTATTGTTTACATTTTTTCCCTTATGAATTTGTTTGGTGCAGCATTCTATATGTATATAGGTATGTTTGGGCTGTTATAAATGTATGGGCTGCGTTCCACTCTACTTTTAGACATGCACTTGCAAACTTCCCTAAGCACTTACCCTCGGGGGAATCCCCGCCGCCATTTTGAAGTGCGTTCCACTTCATCAAGTGGATGAGGGAAGTTTACATGGACATACCCTCGACCCCTCGATTTTGACCGAGGGAGCCAGTCGGCTTCATATGCACACTTCAGGCCGCTCCATAGACCACAATGCAACACGACGATGACGTCATCGCAGATCACGTTTAATTTATCCCCACTCCAAACAACTCTATAATATATGAATGATTTTTTTTTACATTTATAAAAGCCCAAGCATATCTATATACATATAGAATGCTGCACCAAACAAATTCGTAAGGGGAAACATGTAAACAATAAACCAACTCCATAGCGGATTCTAAGTGATCAAGGGCTTAGGTTGTTCCAGTTCAGCACATTCCAAGGGTTCCGCCAGTAGTGGGCACTCGTGCAACGTAATCAATGACGTACATCGAGTAAACCAGACGGAGGGAAGTTTGCGAGTGAAGGGCTTTAAAAAATGGACTGGAACGCAGCCCAAGACCGCAAGTGTGGGTATTTTGGACAACGGGTATGTTCACATCTAGCCAAGTACGGTTCAAATCCCCGATGTGTTCTTGCTCCGCCCCTTTTATCAAGGATGCATCCATTCCAGAAGTGACTTGTGCGAACTTGAGGCAGCCTTGAGCTACAGGAGATGCATCGAGCCGTGTGACAGGTTCATCGCAGGAAGAGACACTCATGACAGGTGCGTGCAATGTTTGGGCTTACAACATGCCCAATCGGCGCTTAGCGGCCTTTCTGATTGTCGACACTGTGATAGCCTACGGCTAAAAGCACTGCGCTCGAGGTTCGCGGCCTTCTCAAATAAAGTAGGCCACGCGTCTAACCCCCGCTATCCCGTTTCTGCGGTTGCCGAGGCGCCGCACGAGACGGTCGCTTGGGGTGACGCATGCGAGC